AACTGAAACATATAGAGACTGGCATGAGAAATTACCTTTTGCATTGCTTGCTTATCGCACGTCCGTTCGTACATCTACTGGGGCAACACCATTCTCTTTGGTATATGGGATGGAAGCAGTTTTACCTGTTGAGGTGGAAATACCTTCTTTGAGAGTATTGATGGAGTTGAAACTGGACGAGGCTGATTGGGTACAAAGTAGGTTTGATCAATTAAATTTGATTGAGGAGAAAAGGCTGAAAGCTATCTGCCATGGCCAAATGTACCAGAAAAGGATGATACGAGCATATGACAAGAAAGTCAGACCTCGAGAATTTCGTGAAGGCGATTTGGTACTAAAAAAGATCCTACCTATGCAAAAAGACTTTCGAGGGAAGTGGATGCCGAACTGGGAAGGTCCCTATGTTGTAAAAAAGGCATTCTCATGAGGAGCTTTGGTGTTAACAGAAATGGATGGAGAAGATTTGCCTAATCCCGTGAATTCAGATTCGGTCAAGCGATATTACACCTAAAAAAAAAAAAAAAAAAAAAAGAAAAAAGAAGGAAATGAAAAAAATGAAAAATGAAAAAGAAGAAAAAATAAATAAAGAAGGGTTCAAGATGAAAACCCAAAATGGGCATCTTGAAACCAAAGGAGGATTCGAGTTGAAAATCCGTAATGGACGGCTCGAATAATCAGAAATTGAAATGGTGGATTCCCCCCGGAAGCCTAACAGTTTAGGGAAAGACTCTCATACTCACACATCTTTTGTACGATCTGAATCTTCGAAACACATGTCAACTTTCGAGAAAGATTTGGGGTGAAGAAACAGAAGGACTCAGCATTTGATATTCACTATATTTGTCCATTGTTTTTCCTTTGTATATACTTGTTTTCTTGTCCCAAAAGATTGTACTTTCTCATTATCTATCTTCAGTGAAATTTTGAATTTGATTCAATGTCCTCGCATATATTCACCAAATTACTAATCAATAACATCGGTTATTATGCCTTACTCGGAAAAGTGTCAGAGTATGGGGATTTTGAAACAGGTGTTCGCCAGAGAACACATACAAAGGCACGCTCCCATCAATCATTAAACAAATCATTGATTAAAAGAAGGTTTAAATTAAAGAAATCAGTTTCAACATAATCATACTTTTCCCAAGCAAAGAAGTCCCAATTTAAAGGCATGCAACAAGGAAAGGCCATTCTGAATGAATTTTCTCTGAAAAATCAATCAATGACCAAAGAATCAAAGAGGCAAGATAAACTCTCTCGGGGTAGATCAGAAGGACCAAGTCAAAGAATATTTAATGAGAGGTCAAGAAAGTAACCAGGCATGGACAAACGCATAAATATCGCATATTCCGGTCAAAGAGTATGAGAGATTCCCAATGCCAGGATCGAACTGAGCATAACCCTTTAAACATGCATTTAGATCATCCTTAGGGCATATTGCTAACATGAAATCATGGCATATGACCATTTTTACAGGATCTTCGAGACTTATTTCATTATTGAAGCAATGAATCAGTCAACATCAACTGACCAGATCTCCTCATCACGTAGGAGAGTGTCAACATTAGGATAACCAGCCGTCCTCATCACGTAGGAACCGAGTTATCACCCTTCCTAACGATGGCCAGAGTTCTTCATCATGTATGAACCATGTCATCTACCTTTAGACGACCAGACTTCCTCATCACGTAGGAGCCGTGTCGACCTTAGATAATCAGTCGTCCTCATCACGTAGGAACCGAGTTATCACCCTTCTTAAAGATGACCAGAACTCTTCATCACGTATGAGCAGTGTCGTCCCCAACAATCAACATTATTCAATTTCTAAGTTTGAAAGGGAGAACCAGACAAAAACGTGTTGGCTTGTCGTCTTTGCACTGTTCTTGTTAACACAAGTATGTGCAAAGAGGGGCAGCTGTAGACACCCGTTTTTGTCCGGGTCTTTTATATTTATTTTTTTATTTTATTTTATTATTATTTAATTATTATTATTATTAATTTTACATATTACATTTTTTTGCAGGCTTAGAAGCCCAATTCAGATTACAAAGGCCCAGAGACCAGAAGCCCACTGCTAACCCAGACCCAACCTAGCAGATTAGGGTTTCAAACCCTAATCCTCTACTCAGCCGCCGCTTCTGTTTGGAGTTCCAGCCGCCGTGTGACTCCTCAGCTTCCCAGACGCCAGCCACTCAAGCCGAGCCTCCCTTTCTCTTCCTCTGACGCCGCCACCATCACTGTTCCGGTCTGACCCCAACTGTTCCACTATTATCATCTACAGCAAAACCAATCAAGGAAATATATCATATACAGTTCAAATCTCACAAAATCTAAACTCCAAATTAAAATACCAATAAATCCCTAAATATTCGGGATTTCTATCCTACCAAATCCGGGGCAAGCAAAGATAAAAGAACAGAAAAAAGAAAAAAAGAACAAAGGAACAAAAGAATACAGAGAGAAATTCGAAACAGAAAAAAAAGAGAGAAGAAAGAAAAGTTTTACCTTCTCGAACCACCACCGTGAATCTCGTTGTGACCTTCTCCGATCCCAGCTAGCCCCATATCTGAAGGTAAAGCCTTTTCCTCTTCTAGGTTAATTAGGTTTGGAGTGCAGTGGGTTTTAGGTTTTTTTAGGTGAGAGAGAGATGAGGTTACTCCCCATGGCCACCGATCTACGGTGGCCGGGGAGTTTAGGGTTTAAATCCTCGGTTGAGGATGAGAGAAGGAAGGCGAAGAGGAGGGTCGAGAACCATTTTTTGCTCTCTGTCTCTGGAAGGAGAAGGAAGACTGAAGGGTTTAGGATTCTCTAGGGTTTTCACCGCCGATTTACGGCGTTTGTGACCTCTGTTTTTCTCCACGGCGGAGGATAAAGGAGAGGTGGAGGGCCTCTTTGGCTCTCTGTTTCTGGAAGAGGAGGGAAGAATGAGTGAAACGGCTGATGAGGGGAGTTATAAAATGATTTTAGGGTTTCATAATAACCCTTAAAGGGTATATCTCAGACGTCAAACGACGTCGTTCTGAGACAGGGGAGGGTCGAATGCTGGGTTAAAAGGGGATAATGACAGTATGGGTCCTCATAACTTCTTCCGTGTTTTGTTATTTTTTTGGGATAATTACAGTTTAAATTCCTTTAGCTTTGTAACGTTTGTAATTTGATCCTTAATGAAATTTCATATTTCTATTTTGGGTTCTTTATTTATTTCGTGTTTCATTTTAACCCTATATGATTAGTATTCTATTTTCTAAGTGTTTAAATTTTTGGTTGCTTATTTTGTATAATGTTCGTTTTAGTCCTTATTTGCATGTGTGTGTGATTTTAGCTGATGTTCGAATTTGGCCCTCAGATTTATGCATCTTTTGTTTTAGTCACTGTTTTGGCATTTGGTTTAAATATTTTTTGATCCTTCATGTTTTTGTGTAATTTCAGTTTAGTTCTTTAACTTATGTTTCTTCGATTTTAGCCCTTTAAATTTCTGTATTTTGTATTTTGGTCCTTAAATTTCTTTTTTTTGTTATTTTAGCCTTTCAAGCTTGGTTAAACGTCATTTTGGTCCCTGAAATTATCATATGTGCTTATTTGGTTTGTATTTTGGTTTGTAATGTTAACTTAGTTTTATTTTAGTTATTTATGTATGAATGTATTTTACATATTTTATGGTTATTTGTATTATGTAAGTAATGTGTTTAATTCTATTTAATGTAAATGTTTATATTTCCAATTGCATTTATTTTCATTATATTTGATTTTATTTTCAAGAACACGTATGCGTAGAATGAGCGTGGAAAGTACTACTTGGTCGAAGTGGTGCGATCTGGTACGTCATTTTAGCGACATAGGAACTTGAAATAAGTCGAATATATTTTACTAATTAATTTATTAAAATGATGTAATGTGTGGTACCTTAAGTGATGCTCACTTTATTTTATGAGAATGTAAATTTTAAATTTTCATTTTATATTCGATACACATTTTTAAATAAATGATGAGAGAATATTCTTTACAAGTAAGAAATAGACGAGGTAGCTTTCCCGGCGGAGGATTGCAAATCTCGGGATTTCTTATCGAGAAAAGGATTTTTTTTTTAACTAATATTCAATAAATAGATCATAATTTATTTATTATTCTATTTTCATAATTTTTATTGTATTAATGGTTGTTATGTTAATATTAACGATACATAAATTAAGCATATTTTATTTTCTACTCATGACGATATTATTTAGTGGTAATTCAAAGATAGGATATACTTTATAGATAAGAAATAGATGAGGTAGCTTTCCCGTTGGAGGATTGCAAATCTTGAGATTTCTTACCAAGTGAAGTATTTCTATTATTTTAACAAATATTCAATAAATAGATCATATTTTTACTTCATATTCAAATTGTAATTTCCACCATTTACGACGATGTGTAAGTTACACAGTACCAATTTTGGGCGTTGTGGGGTGTTTACCCTTCCCCACACGTAACCGACTCCCGAACCTGTTTTAAATGAATCTTTGGTAACGTAGACCAAATTTTTGTCTTATAAAATTATTTTTCTTAAAATTGTTTTTAAAAGACGTTTTTAGGTATTTGACCTACCTAACCCAAAGGTCGATGGCGACTCTTTTCAATTTTATTCAAATCCATTCAAAATCACTAAATTTTCCAAATTAAAGTCATAATTGTTTTTAAAAAATAAAATTTAATTGTTTTAAAAAAAAAAAGGATATGACAGAGTAAATTTCATATGTTTTGGTTGGGGGCATAGTTAAACCATCAAATAAACAAATTATGTCCATTTTAATTTATATAAAAGCATAGCGTAAAATTAAGGAAGGATCAAACTGAGCTTTCAATAAATTTCCGAACATTTAAAATATATTAGAAAAAAATAAGAGCAAACAGATTAACAGATTACGACACTCAATTCTCAACAAAAAAAATTAACAGATTACGTCAGCATATAGTATATATTAGGTGTAAGTATGTGTATATGTAATTTGTATACGTACCATTGAGTGTACATATCGAGGACGACAGTTTTATCCCCGGCGGCATTAACGATGGGCCAGAAAGTGTCCTTTGTAACCCCGTCACCTGCCCCACCGTTGCTCCCGCAGTCTCCAAGCTCGACCTCACCTTTGCAACAATGCCTTTTCTTCTTGCATGGTCATGTGATATTTCTGCACGTCCCCTCTTACTCCCCGCTACATGCCGTCCCCTCCTGCTCCCCGCTGCATGCCAATGCAGCCATCATAGCTGCAACTGCAGCGTGAAATCAACTGCTTCATGCAACAATTATTGATGCATGCATGTAAACCATTTCAGCCCGTGAATTGTACAATTATTGGTGAAATAATTTAGGCAACTGGTGTTATATATGGGAGGTGGTTAACGTGAGAACATAAAAGAAAGAAAGGGGAGAAGAGATTATAGCCGAAGAAAGGGAGAAGATATTACAGCCGAGAAAGAAAGAAAGAAGGGAGAAAGGGAAGGAAGAAGAAGAAATGGAGATAAGGCTCTTGTGAGGTAAATTTTTATTATTTAAATTAGTTTATTATTATAAATTTTTAGTTTGTTAGTTTAGGGTTTAGGGTAAAACAAAAATAAGTTAATTAGTTTGTTAGTTTAGGGTTATATGATTGTTAGTTCAAGTTAAATATATTATACAAAAATAAAAAATTATTTAATTAGTATGTTTGATAGTTATATAGTTAAAAAATAATTAATTAGTTTGTTTTGTTATTCGTTAGTTATATAAAAAAATTATTTAATTAGTTTGTGTTAGTTAAATAGTTAAGTTATATTTGTTTGTTGAATTTATATTATACTAAAAATTAGTTAGTAAGTTTATTAGTAGTATATTATAATGAAAATAGTTTATTAGTTTTAGTTATATAAAAGAATATTTTATTAGTTATTTAAGGGTTTAGCGTTTAGCGTTTAACTTATATTTTAAAAAGTTTAGTTTGTTAGTTTATTATATTATAAGTTATTATATTAATTTTTTTGTTATGTTGTAAATTAGTTAGTTAGTTTATATTATATTATATTATATTAAATGATTTTTTAAATATTGTTGTTTAATTTTTTTTTACAGATTCATTCCAATGGCTAACCAAATTCCACTGCTGAGACTTGACAATAAATATATTTCAAGTCATTTGGGAATAATGGTGAATAAAATATTTGTTTAATGAATTATAATTAATAAATATTTGAATATTATTTTATGATTGTGATAAATTTTTTGAAATATTTAATTGCAGGAGGACGAGCAGCGAGTTCTTCGTCTTTGGCTACATAAAGTGCCCAAGCCACACCCATTGATAGAAGAAAACTTGCAAGAGGCTGGATTTTGGTATGTAATATTTGTGCGAGATTACAAGTTGGTCACAGGTTTGATCAGTGCGTTGATTGAACGTTGGAGACCAGAAACGAACACGTTTCATTTACCGTGTGGCGAATGTACGATAACTCTAGAGGATGTGGCAATGCAACTCGGGGTCCAAACAAATGGGATGCCGGTGGTAATGTCACATGAGTTTAATAATGTGGCACAACTCAGCTTGTTTCTTGGGAAATCACCCATACCACTAGAGTATAGAGGGTGGTGTGTGAGGTTGTCATGGTTAAAGAATGAATTTCAGCTTCAACTAAATTGTACGGAGCACGAAATTATATATGCAACACGAGCATATATATTACAATTGATTGGGGGAATTTTGATATCTGATAAATCCGATAGTTATGTTCACACTCAGTATCTTCTTTTTTTAAGAAATTTTGAAAATAGCATGCAATATAGCTGGGGATCAGCGATATTGGCGTTCTTGTATCGTGAGATGTGCAAGGCGTCATTAGTCGTGAATGATAATAATACAGCAAAAATCGGTGGATGTCTGTTGTTGCTACAATCATGGACTTGGCATAGAATTCCGTTTTTGACACTAATTAGTCGGACTGCAGTTGACTTTCCACTTGCTGGAAGGTAATATGAATCCTCTATTTTAATTTAAAATATTAACTATAAATATTTATTTTGATTAAAATTATTGAACAAAATGATCATACTTTTGTTTTGATTGATATACAGATAGAGGCATAAAATTGAAGGCACGAGGTTGGTGCATAACAACATTAAAGAGTTCAGGCTGAAGATCGACATTAAGGCCAAAAAGGAGGTATGTATAATATGTTATTTTTAATTATTATTTAAAGTAATTATATTATTAGATTTAAATCAATTTTATTGTTTTTTTAATTTTACAGTTTAATTGGAGACCATACATAAATGAAGAAATTTTGGCGTTGGTGCCGCACGATGTTTTAGATGGTTTTCAATATTGGTGTGTTGTTACACAATTGATCAATTTTGTTTTTGTTAAGATCCAATTTGGGGATAGAGTGTTGAGTCAATTTCACTTCCACCAACCTATTCCGCAGAGTCCATGAGATCATGATCTCCTCCAAAACTTAGATGGTCGTCGTCAGGTGAATTGGATTGAGACGCATGACGACCTGCACAGATTTGATGGTCGCCATAAAGAAAATGTTAATTGGGTTAAGAAGCATGCAACCTACATTAATGCTTGGAACAATAGGGCTTCATTCATGCCAACTCTTGACGACATTCAAGACGACGACTTTAATTTTGAGACTTCGACTTACCTTGCTTATTTTTGGGATAATGGTTTAATATTTATTATTAATCTATTGATTTGATATTTAATGATTTAATAATAATATGATTTAGTCATAATTACTAATAATTATTTATTATAAATATTTAATGATTTAGATTTGATACTAATCATTTAGTAATGATTACAAATAATAATATTAGTTTGATAATATTTTTTATTTTTTTAAAATATCAAACAAATTTTTAGGTAAAACTGTCGAGATAATGTTCTCGAAAGAATTATTTCACGAGATAATACGTTGGCTGGATTATTTCATTCAATTAATTTTTACTCCTTACTAATTTACACATATAATATAAATTAAACAAAATATTTTTTTAAAACAACACTAAATATTTTTAAATACAATATTTTTTTAAACGAAAATTATCTCACACAAATTAGTTTATATAATCTAATATAAACTTACTAACTAACTAATTTACACATACACAACAACAAAAAATGAACAACAAAAAATAATAATTTACCCGCGTATTTATGGCTTCTTCCTTTCCTTTCTTGTTTCTTTCTTTGAATCAATCTGTACGTGGGCAAATGTTGTGGAATAATGCCCTGTATGTGTAAACAAAATATTTCTTTAAACAACAATAAATTAAACAAATCAATTTTATATAATCTAATATATTATAATATAACTTAAACTAATAAACTATTTCTTTTTTATAATATAACTTAGTTAAAATAACAAACCAACAAACTAATTAAGCACTAATTAATTTTTTTATAATATAACTTTAACAAACAACCTAATATATGTTTAAAGACATTAACAAATTAATTATTTATTTTTTTTATATTTAATAAATTAAACTAAGAAACTAATTAACTATTTTTTATATAATATAATATATAACTTAAACTAACAAACTAATATAATATAACTTAAACTAACAAACTAATATAATATAACTTAAACTAACAAACTAATAATTTATACTAACAAACTAATTAACTAAATTTTAGTTTTACCCTAAACCCTAAACTAACAAACTAATAATTTCATATAATAAACTAAATTAAACAATAAAAAATTACCTCACGAACGATGTTTGAGCCTTTATCTTCTTTTCTTCTTCTTCCTTTTCTTTCTCTCGGCAAAGTTTCTATATGTTCTTCTGCTTCTACCCTAAACCCCCATAACCTTTATATAAAGCAAATGAGCGTTGGAGAACGTCATTAAATTTGACTGTTGAAGCAAATAATATTAAGCGTTGAATCGTGTAACTATTGAGCGTTGAAAGGTTGCAATTCAATAACAATATTTGCTGCATTTAGCAGCTAAATTAACGCTGCAATCTCCCAGCTATGGATGCAACGCATGCATGAGGGAGCAGAGGGTTAAAGCTTGGTCGCCGGGCAGGAATCTCCCAGCTATGGCATGCAGGGCATGCAACAGAGGGTTAAAGCTTGGTCGCCGGGCATGCATGGCGACCTACCATGTCGCCCAGCGTGCATGGCGACCTACACCAAGAAAATTCGACGTGTGCATGGCCCATGCATAGCTCCCACATGCATGCATAGCTCGCCCTGAGTCTCCTTGGTCGCCCTGAGTGCATGGCAACCTCTTTGGTCGCCCGGATGTCATGGCGACCTACGGCTTCACTGTAGAATTCACCCTATCTCAGCAAATAATATGTCCAAAGCATTATCTCATGAAATAAAAAGTTCGAGAACATTATCTCGTGGAATTTGCCTCTTTTTTACTATTAATTTTTTTAATGAGTTATATGTCAAAGTAAGATTAGTTTTAACAAATATACAAAGAATTAATAATATCAATTGTTAGAATTGTAATAAAAATAGAACACATAATATTAAAGATACAACAACGATGAATATTTAATGAAATATAATTGATCTAACAATAAAACATAAAGAAGCCAAAAAAATTAATAGGAAAAAAGAAATTACACGAAAACATGGGTAAATTACGTACAAGAGTAAATCATGAAAACTAGAAAATCACAGGAGAATACAGAAAATTCGGGGGTGTTAAGCTGAGAAAGGGATGGACAAACGGGAAAGGCGTGGATTGTTGAAAATGGCCACATGCTTCGTTGTAGTAGCTGACTGTCCCCGAGGGGGCATGTACTTGGCAGGGTTCGGCCCCACCACTCTCACCGCCTTCTGGCTTCGGCAGCTCAGCAACCTCCTTCTCCTGTTTTCTTCTTTCCACCTCTATTGTAATTTCCAACATTCTCCTCCGCTTCTGATACCCCAACCGATCCCCTCTCGAACCCTTCTGCCGTCGTCACGCTCCACTCTATGCTCGCCTCACTTGGCTCGTAACACTCCGTCACCATCGGAGAATACGGACACCCAAGGCTGAATCCTGTGGCCCCGTTATTATAGCCACCTGGCATCGATCTTATTGTGTTATAATGCAAGGCCTCGTCTAACGAATCTCGATGGTTGTACATTTGATATGTCGATGCGGTGGTCTGCCTCTGGGTGGTTGTTGATAAGCTCTCGATTTCGAACAGGTCCGAGCTGGTATCGCTTGCTACATCATCGTCTGCTACGGTGATTCTCGACACAAGTTTCT